CACACATATGATCCACATCGGTCAAAACATTGTCCTCTCACTATGTGTTATAACTATTTTTGAATTTTCCTCCTGTAGCCATCTTTGGGGGCCTCTTCGGCCGTCTTGGGGCCCTCTCGGAGCCCTCTTGGGGCCGTATTGGGACCGCCGTGGGCCCAAGAGGCCGAAAGACGGCTCCAAGATGCCACCGAACCTCCCGAGAATACCTTCGAGAAGGCCAGATCGTCCCAAGACCAGTCGTTTGTCAATGGTACGTGACATGTGCTTTCTCGCCCTTTCGCACCCGATGGGATTCTGAGAGGCTCAAAAGCTCCTGAGAGCGCCCAGAGAGCATCCCAAAAGGCCCTAGAAACACTATTCGGGCTTCCCGCGGGGGACCATAATTTAGGCCCCTGACAGTTTCGATCGTTGGGCTCCAGGATGGCTCCAAAGGGCCCCACGGCTCCCAAGAGAGCACACCCAAGCCTCAAGAAGGCCGCAAGGTCTCCCAAAAGGGCCCCAGGAGGCCTCCAAGATGAGTCCCCTCCTCCTCCTCCTCCTCCTCCTCCTCCTCCTCCTCCTTCCCTCCTCCTCCTCCTCCTCCTCCTCCTCCTCATCCTCCTCCTCCTCTTTTCGTGCAGTTGTTGCAAACTTATAGGACGAATATACGCGGCACTATCGCGATAACAATGTCTTGAAAACCACCTGAACTTTATCCGTGAAGCGATTGATTACTTCTAAGACGACTGCGCGCGGCTCCCAGGCGAGAGCCACATGTTGAAAATCACTAGCCCTCCATCCACAACGCTGCTGCAAGTTTCGAGTTTCAGGATCACAAGATGGTGAGAGGAAGTCTCCGGCGAAACGCCGGGCCCGCCCAATCGACGCGTTTTGGGGCGCGACACCGAAGAGGTACTTCTAAGGAGACGGGGTGAAAAGCGGGGATGTCTTTTTTGCACCCTGGGGTGGTGACGAGCACCCCCAGGGCCGCGGCCCGACCACTTCCTCCCGAACCCGATCAGGGCCGAGGACGGGGGGGAAGAGGGGGAGGGGGAGGGGGAGGGGAGGAGCACGGGGAGGGGGAGGGGGAGGGGGGGAGAGGGGGAGGAGGAGGAGGAGGAGGAGGAGGAGGAGGAGGAGGAGGAGGAGGGAGGAGGAGGAGGAGGAGGAGGAGGAGGAGGGGGAGGAAACAATGCGAGGAGGGAGCGGGTGGTCGCCCCGCGTGCGCTCGCCAGACGGCCCCAGGGGCGCTCGCGGCGGCCTTAGAAAAGGCTCCAAGATACCCCCAAGACGAACCACCCAGCAGGCGTCCAACCGCTCCCACTGTGGCAAGCCGTGTTTCCCTCGCGCTCCGCACGCTTCTCAGGGAGAGGCAGGGAAGCGGGGGAAAAATGGAGGAGGCAAGGACAAGGAAGTGGCATGAGTGGGAGGAGGAGGAGGAGGAGGAGGAGGAGGAGGAGGGGGAGGAGGAGGGGGAGGAAGAGGGGGAGGAAGAGGAGGAGGAGGAGGAAGAGGAGGAGGAGCAGGAGGACGGCAATGAAGTTCATTGGAATGGGACGAGGAAACAAGCGGAGGAGCAGCAGACACAGAGCCAGAGACACAAGACCGAAAGTATACGAAGGGGCGGCGAAATTTGGAAAGGAGGGAGGGATCAAATGGAGAACCAGGTAGGGTTGGCAGCGGGGGTAGGGATAGGAATCACATGATGGACGCCCCTTCGCGTGGAACTTGAGCGAGCCACTACGAATGAGGCCCAGGCGGCGAGAAGCGAAAGGCAACAGAGTAATCTACGAGGGGTCGTGGCTTCGGCAGCGCGAATTCGCTGTAATTGGCAATGGATTGTGGCCGCGGGGACGAACTTTGATGTAGTTAAGCCATATTGACATGCGGCCTCGGGAGCACGAACCTTGGGTAATTTACCACGGATTGGCTTAAGGAGCACGAAATCGTTGCATGTCACGTGCGCTTGTGGCTTTGGGAACGCAACTCTGTGGCCATTGACACATCATTGGGGGCTCGATGGTTCGAACTCGTAACACCTTGCAAGGGAGCGCGGTATCGAGCGCGGCTTTTGGTCTGGGATCCTCGCGTGGAGCTTGGCCCAAACAATGTTGTAACTCCGAGATCTTCTTCGAAGACAGTAAAATTGGGGATTGAAACTGCAGCACAGAATGGGGAACCTCTGCCTCGCGGCACGTTGGCCCCGAAGGGGCTGGCGGATGCCTGGCAACAGCTCGATCATAATATGGTTGGCACCAGCTGCGTTTGGGGGGGCATACCAGGCACGAGCCTCTAGCAAATTACATCACACCCCGTTAATAAAAGTTCACCGTTTGGTGGAGGCCGCCCCCGAGGAGGAGGGGGCGCGCAGGCCGGGGCCCATGCGCGCGCGCAGAGGAGGGCGCCGACGACCGCGACGGCGGCGGCGTCGCACGCGAGCATGCACGACGACTCCCGGAGCCCTGGCGCCTCGCGCAGCAGCTCGCGCCCAGCCCCGCAACGCCAGAAAAATGTTCCCAGCTCCGCCAGCACCGCGCCCTGCCGAGCGGCCCACGAGCCGGCCTCTCGGCCCCCGCAGCGGCGCCAGCAGCTGCAGGCCCGCGCCCGCCGACAGCTCGGCCAACGCAGCGGCGGCAGCGCGCCCAGGAGTGCGCGCCCACGCGTCGCGCCAGCGTCGTCAGCGCACCTGGCGCCCGTCAAGCCTGCCCAGCTGCTCTGCGGCGCCGCGGGGCCAGCCGCGTCTGCACGGCGCAGCCGAAGACCCTGCAGGCCCGAGTCAGCTCACCGAGCTGCCAGCCCCCTGGGCAGGGCGCGCACCTGCCGCGAAAGCTCTCCCACCTAGGCGCCCCAAGGCTTCCACCGCGAACGTTGTCAGCCTGTCCCCCAGTACCAGGCGCGCCGCTAGCGCTCGGCCCTCCGCGCGGCCTCGCCACGCGCTGGCGCGCCACCGCTGCGCGCCCCGCCGCGGGGCGGCAGAAAGACGCGTCCATCCTGCACCAGGCGCCCTACCAGGCGATCCCGTCGCTGCGTTCAGCGTCGATGATCGCGCGCCCGACGAGGTCCGCGCCAGGCGGGTCTGCCTGCCGCCGGCTACGGGCGCGGCCCCAGGCCAGCAACTGCTGCTCCATCAGCGGCCCTTGGTGAAGCCATCGCTGGACCAGACCAGCCACCGCGTTCGAGGTCGCAGCGGCGGCGCCCCACCCCGGCGCCCAGCGCGCAGGTGGCGGCGCGCGCGCCTTGCTCGTCCAGCTGCTGTCCGAGCGACGCGTCGCGGGCCCCTCTGGCGGCTCGGCGGCCACGGTAAGTCTGCGCAGCCGCCCGGAGCTCCGCCCGCGCGCATTCATGCCTGGGCGCGCGCGCGGGCACAGAGCGCCGCGGCCAAGAGCGCGTCTTCCACGGGGCAAGCATGCTGACCTCGGGCAGCCGAAGCACCCTGCGGGCCCTGGCCCTCCGGCCCCCAAGGGCGCCGCCTGCTCGCGCTGATGCAAGCGCTGCCTCAAGGCTGCGTGGGTTTTCTACGGCACGGCCTGCACGAGCGCGCTCGAGCTGCTTCGTCGGGCGATCCAGGGCGCCCAGCAAGGAGGAGCCCAGCGTTGGGCCCGCGCCCTGCAGGGAGAGCTGCGTCCGCTCGTCGGAGCGGGCCTGGCCGAGACGCGGCGCCGCGTCCAAGAGCTCGAGCATGGAGTCCGCGACGAGGTCCGCGGACACGCTGGACGCGCACGTGGCCCAGGTGGGCCAGAAGGCCGCGGCTCGTCGCGTCGCGGCCCACCGCGGCCCCGCGCCAGAAGGCTCGAGGGGGAGGCCCAGGATCTCCCGCGAGACGGCGCCCAGGGGCCGCCCCGGAAGCTCCTCCTCGCCAAGTAGCTTCGCGAGCGGCCGGCGGCGCCCGCCCAAGTGCGCAGCACGCTCCCAATCGCTTGCAGCGAGAGGCCGCGCTCGCCGACCGCGCGCGCCCCCGGCGGCCAGAGCGCGTCCCAGAGCTGCGTCAAGCGCCAAGTCGCCTGCACAAGGCCACTGTCCTGGCCCCACTCGGAGGGCGCGTCGGCCACGTCGCCCCGCGCCCTCAGGTGCGCGCCGAGCACTGGGAGCGCCGGCACGAAGTGCGCGTGGAGCTCCGGGGCACGGCCAGCGGCCCAGTCGAAGACCACACCTGCGTTTTCTGAGCGTTGAGGTTTAGCCCGAGAGGCTCCAGGAACTCGCCCAGGCGCTCGAGGGCGGCCGTGGCGAGCTGCGTCGGGAGCACCAAGTAGATGTCGCCCAGGGAAAGATAGTGTCTGACATCTGGGTCCAGACGAGACAGCTCCTCCACTGGTCCGAGCCGAGGGTGCTGTCGACCTCCTCGAAATTGCCCGCTGCGCCCCGCTAGGTGGTCGGCGGGCCCGGAATACCACTTGTCAAGCACCCACGCGATATCTGGTACGTGGACAGCCGGGCCATGGCCTGGATGGCTGGATCTCGCCGCATGCGCTGGAAGGCCGCCTTGGTGTCCACCTTCATGAACACTATCCTGGGGTGGGCGTCTGATTGGGTCTGCAGCTGCTTGACCACCAAGTCGGTCCCGGACTTCCTGCCGACATCGCACGTACTGGTGAGGGTCCGTCGCCTGCCGAAGCCTCCCATTTTTGACCCGAGCCAACGCTCGCATCCCGAGCCTCCTCACGCTGGCCCCCGCGAGCAGTAGGCGGGCGTCGCCGCTTTCCGTCGCCAGGGCCACCACCTCGCCCACCCGCAGGGCTTGAGGGCACCGGCGCGGGCGCCTCGCCGAAAGTGAGCTCCGCGACGGCTTGGGCCAGTACTAACTCGGGCGCGTCCTCCTACAGACGGATTCGGGACGAAAAAAATAAAATCACACAGCTTTCTGTCTTTTGCCAATATGTTATACATACATACAAACATACATACATGCGTACATGCATACATACACACATACATACATACATACATACATACATGCATGCATGCATGCATGCATGCATACATACATGCATACATACATACATACAAACAAACATATTAACACATACATACAAACACATACATACAATCATATGCATACAAACACATACATGCAAACACATACATACAAACACATACATACATACATACATACATACATACATACATACATACATACATACATACATACATACATGCATACATACATAAAGAACAACAAAAAAGGGCCCTGACTATTTGTTGGTCTATGTTTGAATATTCCTCCTGTTGCGGGACACGCCCGACTTAAGGCTAGCACGAGGGAGCGCCTCTGGGTCGCCCGCTGCCGCGGAGGAGGCGCCCCAGGCGGGCCCCGAGCAAGCCTGGGGCGGTCCGACGGGGCGGCTCGTCCCACGGGTCTGGGTCGGCGTGCTGAGCCACAAGAGGCCGCCCCCCACCGGAGCGAAACCGCGGCGGCCGAAGCCGCGCTCTGTGGAGGAGAAGGAGGGGGAGAAGGATGGGGGGACGGGGGGCGGGGAGGAAGGTGAGGAGGAGGAGGAGGAGGAGGAGGAGGAGGAGGAGGAGGAGGAGTTCTCGACCCTTGCAGGGGACCGGCTTCTCGTCCCGAGTCGTCTTGTGGACGGTCCCGAGGCCCCGTAAGGGCTTCCAGAGGCTGAAAATGCCGGAAATCCTCTGGCCATGTTTTCTGGGTAGTCGAAGCCAATCTGGCGCCAATCTGGCAGGCCAAATCTGGCAAACGGGGGCAATCTGGCGAGGGAGCCAACGCGAATCCAGTCTGGCGAGTCACCCAAATCATCCAGCTTGGCCAGGCCAGACTGGCCCTTGGGGCCCAATCCAATCTGACAGTCTGACCTTCGACTACCCAGTAAGGGATTCCAGAGGCTGAAAATGCGGAAAAACCTCCGGCCATGTTTTTGTGTATTCGCCGAGGGGGTCTGGGCACCCCTCTCCGTCCAAAAATGTCCCCAGACTATGCTCTAAACTATGTTTGGATACTCCTCCTGTAGATGGACACGCCCGACGTAAGTCTAGCGGCTGGGGGCGCGGAAACCTTGGCACAAGGGAGAGGAACAAGCGGGGGGATCTCTTTGAAGGCGCCCAGAGGATGAGGAGGAGGAGGAGGAGGAGGAGGAGGAGATGGAGGAGGAGGAGATGGAGGAGGAAGAGGAGGAGGAGGAGGAGGAGGAGGAGGAGGAGATGGAGGAGGAGGAGGAGGAGGAGGACGAGGACGACGACGACGAGGAGGAGGAGCAGGGTAATGAAAAGCACAAGCAACAAGGGCCCCAGCTCGGACTGCCACTGCGCGAGCATTCCGCAAAAAAAATACCCCTGAGAAGCCCCAGGAGGCACCCGAGAGGCCCAAAAGAAGACCCAAGAGGCCCCCAAGAGGCCCCCGAGGGGCCCCCCAAACACCCCAAAACCGCCTCAGAGAGGCGTCCAGGAGGCCTCCCAAGAGGCCCCCACAGGCATCCAAGGGGCCTCTGACCTACAACCTAGGAACAGTGGCGGGGCGGGCCTAAGGCCACTATACATTATACATACCCACAACTAGATACATGGCACATGGTCACACATAGATCTACATATATACACACACCTATATACATATATATATATATATATATATGTATATGTGTGCGTATATCTGTGTATATATACATGTGTATATGTATACATATATATGTCTTCGTGTAGTGCACATGCAATTGGCACAAGCGAGCATGAAGCAGCTCTGGGTCGAAACCGAATGCCAGAACTCACCAAACCCACACTTGTGCTACACACTCTGGAGCAGCAGCAAGGAATAATGGTAGCTGTGATGACGGTGAGAAGAAGGAGTTAGATCAGATGGCGAGGGATATGACAAATAGAGGTCGCGAAAGGATAGAGATTAATATTTTGAGGCCACATGAAAGTGACTGGAATGTGTGAGAAGGAAGGGTGGCGGGTGAAGAGAGATGGAAGGATAGGATCCGTGGAAAAGAACAGACATAGATGGAAAGGATAAAGGAAAGACTGCCCACCACAATGATCGTCGGCCCAGGATGCCCACGGCTATGATCGTCGGATAGGCGTTCAGGAATATGACCCCGAACGTCAGGAAGTGAAAATCCATGCTCGTCAACACCTCTGCAAGACATAGGGCTGGACCACACAGGTGTAGGATACGAAGGCGCGTAAACAAATAGGTAAAGGCAGAGACACAAGTGCGGAGAAACTGGCGGGGAGCATGAGTAGAGAAGTCATGGCAGAAGCATAGAAACATAGGCGCAGAAACAAAGAAGAAAATCAAGAAACACGCGAGACATAACAACGATGGGAAACGCGTGGTCTTCCCACGTTCGCTAGCGCCCCATGACCCCAGGCCATGTTCAGCGCACGCGGGGACCATCTTCAGCTGTTCTGGCCTCTGGGATGCCCCTTTGGGCTTCTAGAAACGAAACTCTGCTGGAGCCTCTCTGAGCTCGCCTGGAGCCCTCCTGGGGTCATCTGGAGTACCCTGACCGGGGGGTCGAGGACACGGCTGCCGTTCCCTGGTCGGATGTAAAACATGTGCATCTCTTC